TATATCAAATGCCAGGAAAGTTTCCAAAAGGATTGACTGTAAAAATAAATCCACAAAGTACCAGAAGAAAACTACCTTTATAAAAAGATAGACTTAAAAAAAACAAAACAAAACAAAATCAGGCTGGTCTTGAGCTCTCTTTGTAACCCAGGATGGCCTCGAACTCACAGCGATCTTCCTGTCTCAGCCTCCTGAGTGTTGGAGTTACAGGTGTGCACCACCATTCCTGGCTTGGATATAGAGTTTAGATTACTCAAAATGCAGAGCATAATAAATGGGTAAATTCAGTCAGAAACGTCTGCATGTGAACACAACTAACCACAGCCAAACCAAATGACCAACTGGGAACATGTACAACGCATACACTATAGGAGCTAGATGTTCCTAGTTTATAAACTCCCAAAGTTCATGAGATCAAAACGCCAAGAGAAAATGGGCAAAGGATAATAACAATTCACAGGAGGAAATACATAGCGAAAGATGCTTAACCTCACCCATAAAGGAAATAAAACTAAAACTGACAACTACACCGCCCTAGCAAACGGGCGTTCGGCTCTATAGGTAAGAGCAGCGCAGCTTGCTGGGAATCAGTACATTGGGGAAACCACTATGGGCACAGTGGGGCGATATTTTCAGATGCTCAAATCCAAATATACTTGAAAAGATGTTGCACAGATATCCCCAGCACAAAACGGCATGTGTCCAAGTTCAATCAAGAGAGGAAAAAAGAAATAACAAAATACCTACCTCCTTCTATCAAAACTGACTACATAAGTTATAGAACAATCATGTGATAGGTTGTACGCAGCTGTTAGGGAAGATATACACTTTCTAGGAACAGAATGACCTCCAGGATATGGCAGGTTGACAAAACAAGGAGCAAAAAATGCTGAGAAGAATTAACAGTGGCTACTTGTGGTGAGGGCTGCAGAGAAAGTGGGTAGAAAGAGTGGTCACATTGAAGACATTTTTATTTATTCAGTAATTTCTTTTTAAACCACGTGTCTGAATTTCCTATTCAGAAATTAATTTTAGCTGGGCACAGAGGTGCAATGGTCCCAGCTACCTACGAGGCTGAGGAAGGAGGATCACAAGTTCAAAACCAGCCTAGGCAAATTAGCGAGACACTGTCTCCAAATAAAATTTTTCAAAGGCAGATGTGTGTGTGTGTGTGTGTGTGTGTGTGTGTGTGTTTTACTGGGACTGAACCCATGGCATGCTAAGCAAGTTCTATACCACTGACATATTCCCAGTGCATGCATGGAGAGAGAGAGAGAGAGAGAGAGAGAGAGAGAGAGAGAGAGAGAGAGAGAGAGAGAAATTAAAGATACAAATAAGCATTGAATTACAACTTTGTTTAAGTACTAGGATGAGAAAGCATGCAGGTGCCAGGCATGGTGGCACATATCTGTAATCCCAGCACTTGGGAAGCTGAAGCAGGAGGATCACTGTGAGTGTGACGTCAGCATAGGTTACAAAGTGAGCTCAAGTCAGCCTGAACTGCACCTCAAAATTCTGTCACAAAAGACCAGAGAGAGAGAGAGAGAGAGAGAGAGAGAGAGAGAGAGAGAGAGCTCATAGTGCTCTGACAGCATAGAATAGAGACTCTGCATTTTCTCCCTGCGAAGTTGCATCTGAACTTAGATCTGAACTCAGGAGTTACTAGATGAAGAGGGTAGGAAGATCCCAGGCCTATGGGGCAGAGCAATCTGGTCAAAACCTAGGCCTGTCTTTTGGTAGCATCTGACCATGTGGTCTTAGGGGCTCCTGTTCTGGGGCTTCAGCAGCCACACAGGACAGTTACCAGGGCCAAGTCCTCACCTGGGCCTTGGGTCAGTGAAAAACAGCAGCACTTGTGAAGGAGGGAGTCTGGGAAGACAGGGAAACTAGGAAAACCCACGCAATTCCAAACTGGCTGCTGTAACCCTCCCACACCCAGAATTTCTCCCGGAGGCTTTCTGTGTGGATAGACATGTGGCCTCTAAGCTGGGAGGACACTGAGTCCAGCTGGAGGCACTCAGGATGATACCGCAAGCACTCAAAGTGGTTCTCAACTTCACCACGATGGTCACAGTGCCTGCTCACACCTGGGTCTGGCCCCCTTCCTGAGAGAGCCCAGCTTTTTGGTGTGGGCACAGGAAAGCCCACAATCCACCTGGCTAAGAAAGTTCCTTGAGGCCAGGAAGCTTTTTAAGAAAACTGAAAACGAGGAAGGTAACTTCTTCACCCTTCAGTAGGAGCTCACTTTACTCACTGACACAGGCCCAGGAGCAAAAGCTCAAGGTCCCAATGAATTGCTGTGCCCTGGTTTGGCCAGGAAATGAGTTCAGCCTCCATAGCCCTTGTCTGCATGGACAGAGACCACTCCTTCTTCAGTGATGTCCCAAATAGCTGCAGATAAGACAGCCCTGGGCCCAGAAAGAAAGGAAATGGGGCCACAAAAGTGCACTGCTAAGAAACAGGAGACACAGGCTGGGTGAGGGTTGGAGCACCTGCTCCTTCAGTCTCTGCTCCTGAGACAATCTCCTCCTCTCCCTGAGCTCTACAGCCCACGGGATGTGGCAGCAATAAGCCACAAGCTCCGGGTAAGTGCCAGGAGAAGCGAGATTCCCACATCTCACCCCTCAGGGAGAAAGCGGAAAGAGATAAAATCCCTACATCAAGGAGAGGTGAGCCCAGGCAGGGAGGGCAAGTGTAGCCTCCTCAGCCTGTCGGGCAGCCCCGCTGGCACAGACTTATGACTACATGCAGGTGTATCACAAACCCATCATAGAGCCACCAAAGAGACACAGAGCCTGGAAACCTTCCTGCAAGGTGGTGAAGCTGAGAGTTCCCTGTTTCCTAAAGAAAGCCCTGCTTTTCAACCCTTGACCCTATCACCACCATTTCCACAAAGGTCTATGAAGTAGAGGAGTCCTCTGAGGTCTCCCTGGAGCTGGGAACCCTGACAATAAGCCGAAGCATCCAGAACCCTCTCAGAGCCTTGATCTCTAGGTACTGTCGGCCAACCAAAGAGGCAGCTGCTGCTAAGCTCTGGACTCAGCCCACAGTCTGTCCTGTGTGGTCTGTGGGTGTCTGACTTTAAGTGTACTGAGGTTTCCCACTGCCACCACAGAGGCCCTCCCTGCACTTGCAAGACTGTTGCCACAGCCTGGCCAAACAGAGAAAGTCCAGCAGGAGTCAGGTGGAGCACAGTCCTGGCCAAGCTGGTGTCTAGGACAACTCAGGAGGGCTCTCTCCTCTCAGGCCCTGGTGCGCCAGGAGGGGCCTGGCTCATCCTTCCCACTGGACATCTGCTGCCTGGCATGGGAAACCCTGTACAAGGACTTGCAAAATGTAAGGTTCTAGGGCCAGCCAGATAGCTGAGGGGACTAAAGTGCCTGCTTAGGCAGGCAGAGGGGCCAGGGTTTGATCCCCTGACCCCAGGGCATGCTGAGACCAGCAACTGAGACTGGTAGTAGTGGTACATGCCTGTAATCCCGGTGCTTGGAAGGCTGAAAACAGGAGGATCACTACAAGTCTGATCTGTGTAATGAGACCCTGTAGATCCTGTACTAAATACATTTTTAAAAAGGCTCTAGATTTTTTTTTTTTTTTTTTTTTTTGGTGCGGAACCAGGGATTGAACTCAGGCCCTTGTGCTTGCCAGGGAAGCACTTATTCCACTGAGCCATCTCCCTGGCCCCCAAAAGGCTCTAGATTTGATTGCCATTACCACACACACACACACACACACACACACACACACTCCAGAACAGATAAATCAGGAGTTGATGAGGTTGAGTATTCTCCGCATTGCTTACTTATACCTCATCAATGACTAAGAGCTGATCACTATGAGAAATTAAAACCAGGAAATTGCTGCTTATCAGTTACCTACCGATTAATTTGAAATGGAGGAGCCAGGGAGATGGCTCAGTAGAATAAGGCTTCCCTAGCAAGCACAAGGGCTTGAGTTCAATCCCCAGTTCCACCAAAAAAAAAGAAAGAAAGAAAGAAAGAAAGAAAGAAAGAAAGAAAGAAAGAAAGAAGAAAGAAAGAAAGAAAAAGCAATGGAGCATTTTGCTCTGATATATTCTAAGAGGAACTGTTGTTCACAGAATTTTTTGCATGCTGTAGCTCCCAGAAGCAGAACTGAGACACAGAACAGGACCTGTGCGTACCCCTCCGACTGCAGCCTGAGCACCATAAGTGTGGCACGGAGCAGCATCCGGCAGCCTTCACTGCCCCTTATTCCACCACAGCCCTGCCTGGGCTTCCAGAGTAACCACAGAGTCCAGAAAGGCAGGACCTGGGCCCTGGCAAAAGAAAGGTACCAGCTCCCAGGCTTCTGTTTGCCACACACTTGAACTAAAACTTTCCACATAAAATCTGGGCTTGCCAGGGCCAGATGGAGAAGAAATGAGCCTGGGGCGTCAGCAGCCGCATCCCTGGGGGTTCAGAATCCCTTTCTGGAGAGCCAGATCCCAGGCCCGGCCAAGCAGGAGCTGACCCAGAAGCCAGAGCAAGGCTTGGACTTCCAGAGGCCGCACAGCCCTCAGGCCAGCCGCTAGTACCCACCACAGAGGGACTTCTCACGCATCCTCAGGAAGCGTGGTCTGTGCCCTGCTCTAGCAAGGACAGGCTGTGGAACACTGAAGCTGGGGGACTGGGCCCGTCAAATCGCAATCATCCTCCTAGTTACCATTTATGTAGAGCCACCTCCCTACCAAGCACTTCCTGCATCATCTCTCATTTGAGTCTCAGCACGATGAAAAGTACTGTGGTCATCTCCATTGTCCAGATAAGAAAACTAAAGCTCGCAAGCGCTGAGAGGCTGGCGCCCAGGAAGTGGAGGAGGAAGGTAACAGGTGTCTGTGGGATCAGAGCCCTGTTCTTCCACAACGTGGCTCCCAAGTGCCAAGACCTACAGCTGGATCCTCCCCTCCCCTGGCCCTACCCATCCCAGTCCATCCACCACCCCAGGACTTGCCTCCCCATATGAGGCGTCCCCATTCTTACATGGCCAAAAGGGTCCAGGTGGTTGTTTGTCAGTTTCAGCTTCTGAAAAGAGACCAGCTGCCGCATCCAGTGGGCCCCTGTGGCTGGAGAATCCGGGTGCACATACAGCCTTCCTGGCATGGCTGGCTCGGCCTTGCCTGCCACCATCCTGCCAACAGTGCAGACAGAGCAGTGGCCGCTGATTACACTGAGGGCTGGAAGCTCACATTCCCTATTTCCCCCAAGACCAAATCCCCAATGGCCAGGAGCGGAAAGCAGCTGCTGTACTCACACCTTCAATTCAGGATTGAGGGGAGAAGGGAGAACAAGGGAGAGAGCCCTAGGGGCAGGCGGGGCTGGGAACCTCTGCTCCTTCTGTGGGAGATTGTGTGGGAAAGGTGAATATTTATCCAAAGGACTGAGGCTATTCACAAAGATACTGGGAGATTTAAATACTCTTGTGTCTTCTTAACCGATTGATGGTTCTGGCCATAACACTGGGGCCTCATACATGCCAGGCAAGCACTCCAGCACTGAGCTATGCCCCTAGCCCATATATTTCTAGCTTTTAAATGTTATAAATTGTATTAGTTGGAGGGAGCTTCTCAAAGGACCTAGAACACTTTTAAATTGATTGCCCCAAAACAATGATCAGAAACTAGCTCAGCCAACGCCTGCTCTGAGTTCTAATGTGACTCAGAGGGAGACAAAATAGAAACATGGGCCTTGGCAGGAACAGGCCACCAAATCCAGCCTCCTCAGCCCCATCCCTGCAGGCCCTGAACCCCACCATGGAGCTTGGGAGCTCTGACTAGCTGCCTCTGCCTAAGCAGGTGGTGCTCTGAGCTCTGGGGACAGACAGGGTGTTGAAGAGTTTTGCCTCAAAAAAAGTAGCCCAGCACTGACTTCCACAGCCCCAGCTTGGTTTGGTCCCTCAAGCTGCCTGTCTCCCCTACTTCTTGCTGGGGGGTCCTATCACCTGCACCCACACCCGCTCCTCAGCAGCAGCTTTATTTGATTTGAATGACATACAGCCCAGAGGGGCACACTCTGCAGCCAGATGAAAGGGACATGAGCAAAGAAAGAAGAGAGCTGCCGCAGGACCAGCATCAGCCCTAACTATGAAAGTCCTCCAAGAAAACGGTCCCCATCCTCTTCCCTAGAGAAGCCCTTGCAGAGCCCGAGTCTGCCAGGCATTAGTGTTTTCTCATCACCCAAGAGTAAGGGTTCTGAGCTTCAATTATGCATGCTTGTGGGGAGAGGATGGCTCTAGAAATCCAGCAAACACAAATGCTTTCACCTCTAAAGCCTGGTCTACAGTACGTATGCAGACCCTGGCTGCTTCTTCCCTCTACAGACCCCAGTACAGGCAGTGGACCCGAGATTGTGGATCTGGGAAGTCACTCAGACTGGCTGGGTAGTCAGTCTGAGTCCAGGGATTTAACTCAGGACAGGGGGCGGGGGAGAGTAGAGGGAAGGTGCGTCTCAGACCTCTTACCATTTGTTGTCGCAGAACTTGTAGCGATGGTCATCCGCAGGGACAATGTCAATCAGCAAGATGTACTTGGTCTTTGGGTTCATGCCTGTGACTTTCACCTTGTAACTTGGGAACATCCTCCTGGTGGAGCCAAGGGGTTGGCAGAGCATGGACAGCACCAGAAAAGATGGTACAGAGTGAGCAAGGGACAGACAGCGCCCTTTGAGCAAGAGACCCTGGCCTTCTCGTGAGCTGTGTGACTTCTCCCTTTGTCCTTGCTGCCCTGCAGAGGGCCTGCCTAGCTGCTTTGTCCGAGCTGCTGCAACCATCAGTCTGGGAAGACACTAAACATAATGGGCCACCCCTCAAAAAAATCTAAGTTGGGGGCCTGCTGCCTGTGAGTCAGAGAAGCACATAGACTGTGGTCAGGATTTGTGGGACAGATCTCAACACCACCCTCGAAGCCTTAATTTCCCTCCTGCCCTTTGCTAGCCCATACACAGCTAAAGCTCTAGGGTGCCACGGCACACAACCTGGCAGCTCCCATCAGCTGCTTCCTTATACAATGAGATGCCTGCCTGGGTCAGGTCTGGTGGAAACGCTTGGCCTTAAACCAACACTGAGAAGCAGAAGGGTGCTCTGAAAACCCTGCTAGGTCTAGATTCTCCCCGAGTGTTTAACAGGAGTCCTTCCCACTATCAATGTCTGCCCTGGTCTGTGTGCCCCAACCAGGAATCAGCAAAGTTGGTCCAGGAGCCTTACATACAACAGCATGGATTCTGAAGCCACTACGGTCCCAGCCTGGCCCCACTACTGATGACCCTGAAGCATTAGGCAACTTACTTGGGTATCTTTGTCCCTTGGTTTCCCTATCTCTAAAGTTAAGATAAAATTACTACTGCTCTCCTGGATATCTGGGTGGACTACACGAGTTGATTTATGACTATTACCACCATCCCGGCTTGGCCTCACTTCCACAAGTTGGTGGTATGACCTACTTCTACAAAAATGGATTCACAGAAAAAGTTTTCCAACTCCTACAGTCCACATGGAGGCTGTCCTGGACACTGCTGATCAAGGAACATTCTAGAGAAGGACTTCCCCAGACCTCTCAGCACACACTGCAGCAGCATGCACACCTCCTGCAGGGGCACAGCTCCCTCCCCTGGTCACCAGGTCCCTGACACCAGACTGCACCAGAACAGAACAGGGAACTTTCTCCCATTCCCTCCCCATGCTCCCTGCCACTTCCTCACTTACATTCCACAGAAGTGATTCTCTGGAGAGAGGCAGGATCCAAACAAGACTGAAGGCCCTTAGGGAAATAGGAACCTGCCCTCCTGAGCTGGGATACTGCCCAACCAGACCACTCCAGGGGCAGGCTGGGCCTCCAGCTCTCTGACCCAGGACAGAACCTCCTGAGCAGTTTCCCTGGCCATCTTCAACAAATTAGCACCCCCATTTTGTGGACAAGGGTACTAGCTTACCTGGGCAGGGCAGAGTTTCCAGAAAGTATCAGGGCCTCCACAAGCAGGCAGACCCTACAGCAAGCCCCGAGCACCCTGAGCAAAAGGGTTTCATTCCACCCCAGCAGGGCCCAGCCCAGCCTGTGCCCAGGCTCCTGCTGCGGCGAGGCGTAGCATACTGCAGGGGCATGTGCACCAGGGCGCATGTGCAAGAGCACGGGGCCGAGTGCGCATGTGTACGAGTGTGCTGCCTGCCGGGTGGGGGCCGCTCTAGCCACAAGTCTAGGGACTTATAAACCCTGTGGAAGAATTTGTCTCAGATGTCAACTGAAAGCATTTTCAAATGTCCACCCCACCCCCTCTTCAAGGATGGGGGAAGTGAGAGAGCTCAAGAACCCAATCCTGCCTACTTCTCTCCAGCCCCCTGCCCGGCCTGGGGGCACAGCTGGAGCCTGCACCATCCACTCTCCTGGTCCTGCCTCTAACTTGGTGGGTCCAAAGCTGAAGGGGGAAGGCAGCAGCTGCCTGTATCCCTCTTCCCTGAGGAAAGGCGAACAATCTTGTCCCCTCCTGGCCACCATTTTGTAACTGCTACAGAATGAGGCACAAAATGGGGTTAGTGTTGACCATTCTTTGGCTGGCCTGGCACCAGAGGCCTGCTTTTAGACTGTTTCTTCTGTAATCACCCCAGAGGGCCACAGCAGAGGGCAGCCCTAGATCCCCTCCAGGGCCAGGGACTATACAGGGGGCCAGGAAAAAATGGCTGTCTTCCACGTCACCCACTTTGAAACCTAGGTGAAGGAGAATGACGGTGTAGCCCCCTCTGTTATACTTTGCCTCAGCAAATCAGGAAGGCTGGGCAGATGTTGTCGAGTGCTTTTTATAAGCCCTTTGAAGAGCCTGTTCTCTGGCCGGAAGTAAGCTGGTAACCAGTGATCTGGCCCTTCCTGGAAGCTGACCATGAACCAGATTGCATGGAGGACAGCCTCAGAGAGACCCTGATGCTAGGACAGCAGCTTCTGCCCTGTGCCTACCAATTCCACCCCTCCCAAGGCAGCAGCCTTTAGTTTAAAAGAATAGAGGACAACTGGGTATCTAGTCTCAATGAGTAGCTCAAAAGTCCCTGTGGTACACTCCTCTACTCCAGAATTCTGGAGGCTGATGCAGGAAGATCATGGTGAGTTTTAAAGCATCCTGGGATATACATCAAGTTTAAGGCCAGCATGCTTTATATATAAGGACCCTATCTCAACAAAACAGCACAACACCCCCACCCCCAGTGCAGGCCAACCTGGCTGAGCTCAGGAGCTCCACTGCCTTCATGAAAACACATGGGCAAGTCTCCAGGGGAGTCCAGTTTGGGGACAGCAACACAGGGGTGGCATGGAGGGACTAGGCACTGTCATTTCCCCAGGTAGGTGGCTCCAGAAGGGCAAAGGGGGCTCAGGGTGGAGGAAAGGCTGTGTGCTAAGGCAAGGCGAACTTCCACCCACACAACGCGCATCTGCTCTTGGTACATCAAGCCAGCATGATCTGAGGACGGAAGCCGGGCTGCACTTGGAGGCTGTGACTTCCTCTGGGCTCTCTTCGCAAAGTAAAGGTCTTTGCTAATGAAACATATGAAACCCTGGAATGAGCCCTGAGTTATAGCTCTGATTTATGACATAAAATGTACCTGAAAACCAACACCCTACGGGGAAGGCCCGCCTCCACGCCAGGAGGCCCCCACACCACGGAGGGGGTCCCCCAGCATCCCACACGCAGAAGCGGCCCGGCCCAGGGAATCAGCAGCTGCCTGAGCCGAAGCTGCGCCCGTCGCAAGCGGATGAAAGCCCAGCTCTCTGATGCTCAACCCCGCTGCCAGCAAGCGCGGGCTGGAACCTTGATCAGCCTCAAACTCAGAAACGGTTTTAGAATGGACTGCCTGCCGAGATAAGCTTCCTCGGTCCGAGGCTTGGAGGGCCGGGACAGGGATTTAGGGGCATCTTGTTGAGGGCACAAATCTGTACGTGAGTCGCGGACTGGGCGGGGAGAGCAGCGGGCTGGTCACAGCAGCCGTCAGACTCGAGGTGCTGGCCTCCCGGGCCCCTGCCCATGCCAGGGAGAGGGCAGAGAGCACCATCCTAGGGCCCGAGCCCCACGCAGCCCCATGCAGCCCCCCTCCCTCGGAGTCCAGCCTCCAGGAGCAGGGCCGTGTGCCTTCCCCTAAAGGAGCAGGAAAACCAAAGCCAAGGGGTGAGGAGCCCAAGAGTGGTTTCCAGCATGGGCCTTGGGGCACACCCGAGGCCTTCTGGGGGCTCCCAAGGTTTTTCTTCTCTTAGCTGCATGTGTGCTAGTCTTGTGAAAATCTAAAGACTCAAACAGTCGTGCACTTTTCCGCAGAAATATTCCACTTCCATTAAATTGGCATTAAAAATCACATATGCTGACACCTGCATGCCTCAGACCAGCATCCAAAGGAAAATAAAGGTGCTCAAGGGAACCAGCAAAAGGGGTCCTTTGCAAGCCCCACCTATCTTTCTGTCCTTACTGACTAGGGGTCTTGGGGAAGCCAGAGCCAGGCCCAAAGCCTAGAGGAGGGCGGGGCTGTGGCTGCTGCCTCTCCTGCAGTTCTGAGATTCCCACTCCACACATGCATCGGTTTTCTAATTCACCCAGAGCAATGTTAAGACATATTTTCCCTGAGGGGAGGGGCAGGCTGAGGGTGTGTGGAATGGATGTTGTTTGGGAAGGTCAGTTGCTTCTCTTAGATTTTTTTTTTTAAAGGCATTTCCTTCTGATGGACTTTTGCTTTCAGAAAATACTTTCAGAAGAGATCAAAGCTCTCTCTCCCCAACCCACTTTCCCAGTGTCTTCAACCCTTACTTGTCTTATCATCCACGCCACTGGGCTCTGACGCTCTGTATACAGAGCTGGGGCAATTGGCTTTGAAGCCCCGGATTAAGCCAGGCCAAATCCTTGCCTCAGAATAACAAACAATACAGGTTCAACAGGAGTTCTCATCGGTAGTTCATTTTTCAAACGCAAATTCACTGTCACTAACACAAGCAACATTGAACTCAACAGGCTCTGAAGGCTGATAGTGGAGATTTATCTGGTGGCAAAACCATGACCTAGGAGTAGTGTAGTCAGACAGTTAGGAAATTTTCATTTTTTGAGGAGGTTTATATTTGAATTTTTGTGGCGCTCACTTTTATCTGTGTTTGGGAGAAAATGCAGTTTCTCATATGCATCAAGCTTGGCAGGGATAGGGAAGAAGCCAAGGCAGAGGTCTGCTCCAGGGACTGAGGCCTGGGAGGGACAAAGACTGGCTGGGGAGGGGCTTGGCCCCTAGTCTACACCTGATATGAGGGGATCCTGAGGGTTTATTTATTTATTTATTTATTTAAACTTACCTTCTCTTTCCAGATTCCATTTATTTATTTATTTATTTATTTATTTATTTATTTTGGCGGAACCGGGGATTGAACTCAGGCCCTTGCATTTGCCAGGGAAGCACTTATTCCACTGAGCCATCTCCCCTGCCCCAGATCCTGGGGGGCTTAGAAATGGATATTTCAGCATGTGGTTGGCATTTTATGCATCAAATGCAACTGGCAACACAATCACAGTCCAACAAAGGAGCTCCTCCTGTCTCTCCCCTTCAGTCTTTTAAGGTTGCAGTAGGCTTGGGCAGGAGGCTTTTGACCCAGGAACTCAAACTGGCTTGAGCACAGTCTAGGTCCCCTTTCTGCAGAGCCCTGCCCCGTCCTCTCACAGCCAGACAGCAATAATCATATCCCCAACTACCTAGAGTCTCTAAGGTAAGACACTAGCTCCAGGTTGAACAGGGACCTGTAAAAAGTTAGGGGCTTGAGCATGATGGGAACGGGCCTGTAATCCAAGCACTCAGGAGGTTGAGACAGGAGGATTGCAGGATTGCAGGAGGAGTTCAAGCCCAGCCTGGGGTACATAGCAAAACCTTGCCTCAAAAGAAAAAAAAAATTTTTTTTAGGGTCTTGATCTGGGGGTGAAACACATCATCTACTGAGCTTGTATGGACTTGGCAACTGCCTACCTTCCCTTCTCGGGGGTTTGGTTTCTGTTCTCTTGGTGCCCTTCCAGCCCTTGCAGTCAAGGAATCTATGATTCAAGGTTAAGCAGAAAGGTTCCGGCTATCTGCTGAGAAAGGAAAGACTCCAAGGAGAAGACATGAGGAGAACACTGGGTAGATGCTGAGGAGCCGCGAGCCCACACAAAGCCCTTGCACCATGACTAGGGCAGTGAACATGGTCTCTGAAGACAGGCACGGGGTGTACACTTACAATCTCAGCTACACAGGAGGCTGAGGCTGGAGGACTGCAAATGCAAGGTTGGCCTAAATGCAAGGTTAGACTCTGTCTCAGAATAAAATAAAAAGAATATAGCTCAGCGATAGCATGCCCCTGGGTTCAGCACCCAATGTAGGAAGAGCAAAAAGTGGCCTGTAAAAGATGGTATGGAGCCAGGTGTGGTGGTACATGCCTGTAATCTTAGCACACTGGGAGGCTGAGGCAGGAAAATCACAAGTTAGAGCTCATCTTGGACAATTTAGCAATTTAGGAATACCCGCTATAAATCAAAAGGTCTGGAGATATACCTCAGTGAGAAGGCTGTGGGTTCAATCCTCAGTCAGAGAGAGAGAGAGAGAGAGAGAGAGAGAGAGAGAGAGAGAGAGAGAGAGAGACTGTAAAGAACTATGGGGGTTTGGGAGGGCTGGAGGGCAGTAGCTCTAAGGAGCAGACCCTGTGTAAGGATAATTT